ACATTTGTCTTATCTGAGTTCCTTTCTCAGGAAACTAGCCATCAGACCTCCCAGGTAGCACCTAGGAACTGAAACTTATCAGATCACCACATCTGGACAATCAGATGCCAGACCCCTCACCTCTAACAATCTCCTAACTGATGCCTGTTGATCACTCCTCCTCATCTCTCCCCAAATCCTGCTGTTTTTGCACATGCAGTTACATTCTTCCCTGCTATATCCTAATTTTAATCAGTTGAGAAGATAGATTTGAGACTGATCTCCCCCCATAGGCTGTAGCACCCAAATAATGCCTTCTTCCCTGACAATAATGGGGTCTCAGTGATAGGCTTTCTGTGCTGTGAACCACCGGACCTACACTGAACCCCTGGCATTTCTCTATTTCCCACCACTGAACTAAGTTATAAACTCTCAGGATAGATCTCTGTTTCTTCATTTTAAGATGGGGATTAAAAGGTACATCCTGGAGTGTTATTTTCAGTGTAAAATATGGCTGTGAAACCTCCTACACCTATGCACAGGTAAACTGATGGCCCTGCAAATGCCCAGAGAAGTCACCTTGTAAAGATTTAATGAATGTTTCCCACCATTATTGGAAAATCTGGCTATGTCAGTAGCTTTGTTTTCATATACTTAGGGGGGAAATCAACAAAAACTTGATACCCTGTCATTTCCTTCCAGTTTCTTCTGCAACTCTAGCTCCAAAGACTGCAGTTCCTGCAGTGTATATATATATATATATATTTTTTTTTTAAACAGGAAAAAAAAACATGCAAATGTACTATTTCTTCAAACACAACTAGGAATGATTGAACAGCTGGGGGAATAGGAAGAAAACCCCTCAGAGAACCAAGGACAAGCAGTGGCACATGGCCACTACGAATGGTTCTTCACTGCTATGTGGGCAGCCGGCAGCCAGCAGCTAGAGTCCGTCTTCGCTCTTCAGCCAGCAGTTCTGCAAAGTCAGGCCAGCTGGCTCTCCGCCCGCGGGCTCGCTCTTCAGCCAGCAGGTTCTGCAAAAGAGTAAATAATCAAAGGAACAACCCAGAGAACCTCACAATTCGTAATTTAAGAATATTATTTTCCAACATCTTTTCTTTTAATATATACCATGGAACTGTGTTTTAGGGTATTTTGTTTTTGTTTTTGTTTTTAGATTCAGGGGGTACATGTGCAGGTTTGTTACATCAGTATATTGCCTGATGCTGAGGTTTGGGCATCTAATGATCCCAAGTAGAAAACATAGTACCCAATAGGGCGTTTTTCAATCCTTACCCACTCCCTCCCCCTTTTGGAATCCCTAGTGTTATTGTTCCCTTCTTTGTGTCCCTGTGTACTCAAACGTTTAGCTCCCACTTATAAGTGAAAACATGCATTATTTGGTTTTCTATTTCTGCGTTAATTCACCTAGCACAATAGCCTCCAGCTGCATCCATGTTGCTGCAAAGAAAATGATTCCATTCTTTTTTGTGACTGTGGGAACTGTGTTCTTTAATTGCTTTAAACTAGTGGGTAGTAGTGCTCATTTGGGCAGCATATATACTAAAACTGAAACGATACAAGATTAGCATGGTGCCTGTAGAAGGATGACATGCAAATTCATGAAGTGTTCTATTAAAAAACAAAAAAAAGTTGGGTAGTAAAGGTATGAATTCATTCCACAGGTTAATTGGTATTATAAAATTCTTGATCTATATAGCAGCCAATATAGTCTCAGACTTTTGATTCTCACAACTAAGGCATGTCTTCCAACTTAACCAATAGCAGTAATAGCAGAGATCTGGAAACTCCATCTTTAAATTTCTGTTTTATTTCTTAAATTGTTCAGAATCCAGACAAGGTGCTGCATATTGGAGGCTCCTCACATATAGCACCAGAATCAAGACCCAGATATAACAGAGAAAACAATACAAAATCATCCAAGTAGAGCTTAATTCACAGGCTTTAAATTGTGCTTTTCAAAAACAAATTTTCAAAAAGTTTCCCATAGTCAAACCCATCAGACATTTATGATTCTTCCCTTATTTTTATGCTTATAAAATAAAGCATTTTCCCCTATTGAAAATAAAAGTTACTTTTGTTTTCTTTTAGTTGTTTTATGGATTCATTTATAAATCACTGTTTCTCTTTCTCTCTCCAGAAATTATTTAGTGTATGTTGTAAGGGATCTTTTTTCTTTCCAATCACTATGCCCTTTCCCCAGTGCCAATTTTGGAATAATTATTTCCCTCACTAGTTGTTAAGGCCACCTTTATCATACAGTAAATTCTTGTTAATACATATTTTATATATTTTCCGGAGCATCCTGCCCAATGTACCTGTCAATTCTTATGTTGGTACCAGTCCTAAAAAAATAAACAAATCAGACTCAAACTCATGATTCATGCCCTCATAGGATTTGCCTTTTGAAACAGCAGGACCCTCACCCTGTCCAAAGTTCCCTGTACACCATGTGCTATTGTGACTGGCCCTCTTAATAAATTTAATCCATCCCACCCTTAACACTGACTCACACCAGCTACAGAAGACAGTAGCTGATGAAGTGGAGAGAACCCAGCCAATGACAGACCCAACCCCACACCCTGGGATAGGAAAGAAAATCCAAAACAGAGCTCTGAATTATCCTGAGTGGAAAAAAACAAAACAACAAAACGAAAGACTACAAACTGTATGACTCCATCTATGTAACATTTTTGAAACAACAAACTTGTAGAAATGGTGAACAGATTAGTGGGTGCCATGAAATAGAGTCGGTTTGGGGAGTAATAGAGAGGTATGTTTGGTGATAAAAGTGCAACAGGAGGGCTCTTTGTGCGAATGGAAACATACTCATTTAACTGTAGTGGTGGATACACAAACCAACATTTGATAAAATTATATAGGACTAAATACATATACAAAGTACACATCAAACTGGGGAAATCTGAGTATGATTGGTGGACTGTTTTGTTGTCAATATCTTCATTGTGATGCTGTACTATACTTCTGCAATATGTTACTATTGAGTGAAACTGAGTAAAGGGTAAGGAATCTCTGTATTATTTCTTACAACTGCATATGAATCTATAATTAGCTCAACAAAAATTTCAGTTGAAAAAAACAAGGGTCTTTCCTTGATTACTAACTTATTTTAAAGCAACTGATTGGAATCCTACCTTGAAATTGCAATGTAATTGCAATCTATTTAAAGCAGTGCTGTTCAACAGACCTTTCTGCAAG